TTTTCTTCATTACCCATTCAAGCCGTCTCCAGCCATTATATATTATGCTAATATTCCCAGAGTCATTATTATTATGAATTATCAACAACATTATTATTCATAATAATATCACTTAATCGTATTATTATCACACATGCACATATATTATGCTAATATCTCTAAAGCTAGTACTGTTATAAATTATTCATATAGCTGAGGGTACACGTTAAAGAAGCAAAAATTCTATAAAGGACAATGTTAGATAATTTCCCCTTTCCTTCTGTGATGAGCAGAGCACAGATAGCCCATTGTGCAGCTTTGTGCTTAACTTCAAACAAACAAACCATTTCCTTCTTTCTCTTGTAACAAAATTCCCAATGATCTCATTAGATGCTAATTCCATACACTGCTTTGTGGAAGGTAATGATTGACTCATTTAATTGATCAAATACTTGTGTCTTTAAATCAAAACCAAACGTTTATAAGAAATATGGGAAATATGTCCTATTTTGGAGTGTTTTTATACCTCTTCTCGAGCAAAAATTCTCAAACACAATAGCTCTTATAAACTTCTGGTAGTTATCAGTTACCATTCCAAAAACTATGGTAAACGAGCCAGCTTACTCTGAGTGATAGATCCTAACACAGACATACACATACACTCAAATAATGGGTCATCTTTACAGTAAGATTATTATTATATGACAAGAGTTTATACAGCTATTTATCACACTTGCACATAAATTGTCATAATATATTTATTCAGATCTAACACTGTTTCCCCAAGACACGCATATACAAAAAGTTAAGGTTTAAAATGGATCAGTTTTCAAAATTATTATATCTTAAAACCTATTTACCAGAGGCATTTTGTAAATTAATGGTTGTATTCAGGCTGGTTTAGACATTATATAGGGTGTTCTAAAACAGTCACAGGAGGTTCAATATACCTTCTATCATTCTCAATCAGTATATCAAGCCTCTCCCTAAAAGAAGCCACTCTAAGCCTAATCTGTTCTGGAAAGTGCTCATTGATCCCTGTAATATCCTGTATATTAAACGAAATTTATTCAAGTCACCAATCTCATATTACTGAAAGAGAAAAATAAATAAATAAAAACCAATTCTAGTTTGCTCGACAAGCAATTTAAGTATACAGTATAATGTGGTTTTTGAAAACTACTGTACACTATCTACACTTTCCTGTTTGTTTTTGAATGTTTCGCTAGCTGCGTGGTCGTTCCTTATTTTGAATTTATAGACTGGAAGGAAGTCAACAGCACCCACCGCCAACTCTTGAGCTATGCTTATCTGACTAAACAATACGATTTTAACCGTCACTTATAACGTACTTACGTTCCGAAAGTGTCGAGCGTGTTTTTGTAACAACGGAACGCGAATCACGAATCCTCACATTCACAGTCCAGGCATGTTAAACAATAATCCACATCCGTCCACCATAAGTTTCTGAATAAAACTTATGAATCTAAAAGTGCTTATAAAGGATTCGTGTTCCCTAAAATAAGTAACTGCTCAAAGATAAAATCATCTTAAATATAAAATTTTTCTTTACATTCGAATGTTATAACTTACGAACTTCATACCTTTTATTCTTCCCACAAAATTTATCTTATATTATAATTCAATCACAAATATACTCCCTAAGCTATAATTTAAGCGTTGATGAAATTGTTGTTTATCACACAACAGCAAACATTGCTTTGAACTATCCATGTTTTTTTCAGAAAAACAATGAATTTTAAATTTCAATCCTAAAATAATTAGGAAATAATGTTTCATTTATTGATAAAGGAGTTTTGAACCGAGCAGAAAATGTTCATTTTTTATCTCTAACG